CGTGAATACAAGAAGATGACGAAACCGACCTGGCGAGCATAAACTCTCCCTCGTGACTCCTGATACATCTGCAGCCTTTAATGGAAACTTCAAGCTCTTTTCATTCTTACCATTGACGCGGGACTTCAGGGTAAGCGGAACTCGCAGATCACTCCCCAGAGCGACGAACAATAACGATCATTCCATCCGCCGGACATCCCTGACCAATACCCAACGTCTGAAAACCAATAATTCTGCATGCATTGCTCCGGGATCCCGTCCTTAGCAAAGGGAGGCTCTGCGAGCGTGCCATCCCAAAAGACCTCTGGCGAAGCCGACACCAATGTTCCTGCGACGAAATGTCAACATGAGAATGCAATTCAATGGATGGGGGATCTTCTCTCGCACTGGATTTCGACTGGAATTTCCGATTATAAATTCCTGCTCGGTAACAAAGAGACTTTCATATTACATCATGATGAAATTGCTATTATAAGACGTGGAATCTACCCAGGAAATTTTCGTATAATTAATGAAATACTGAGAGAGCCGATTCTTTGCTTTGATTATTGGATCTCTCGCTTCCCTACATGAGGGGGAAGGTCGAGACAGGTAAATGTCTGTATTTGGAAACAGTTGTTTGCGCTTGGGCTTTTCTATCATTTTTACTTCTGAAGCAATGATTAACCTTCCAAATGTATAAAGGGAGCTGAAACAAGAGACTCCCCTTGGGTCCCAATCGAAGCAACTCGAGAAATGCGAAGCGTTGAACCTCGTAGAGAAAAAAGAACTCACCTCGACGATAAAAGAATTGTCGTGGGACTCCTTTCGCGTCTGGGGCAAACCGCCTTATGCATGCGATGTTTCGCGTGGTCCACGTGCTGTTACCGGGAAACGGTGGGAGGTATCGTGGGGTCCTGATTGGCTGGAGAAGGGCATCGCCTCTGACTGGTCGTCCGATCGTAGGTCTGCGATATTCTTACTCCTCGATTGCAATCATCAGGGAGAGATTGAAACGATAGGAACGAGTCCATCTCAAAAGGAAGCAAACAAGTTCGGAATTATGTTGGACTTGAAACACTATAGAACAAGAAGTGTAGGAATTCGATTGGCATCATGAGAGGTAGCAGGGAAGGTTTCTGGATCCGATTTCATTCAGCGAAATCCTGGAATTTGTGGGTTTTTTTTTTAGGACTTCGAGAATTTTGAATTTCATGAAGGTTTCTCTTTCATTAAACGTTGAAACATAAACACGCACAGATAGTAAAAGGAATTACTAATGGTGCCTGTAGCAACCAAACCAATCTAGGCGATAGGGGAATAAATCCCGTAATCTGGGAAATATTTTTAAATAAATGCCACCTGCTTAACTGAGCACACCTCATTCCAATGACTGGAATATGAGCAAGTATACCTCCATCGGGAAGAAGAACCAAGAGAATTTACATTTGCCACAGTGGATAAAATTCTAATAAGTAGATTTCCATGGTGGCAATGGTGCCTGACCCACACAGACCAATCTAGACGTTGGGGAATGGACCCCGCTCCGGAACCAAACCTGACAGATTGGCTAGACTATGGGGGGTTAGCCTGCAGTGAAGGGGCAAGGCTGAATGAAGCTAAAAGTGAAAGGACAGTGAAGACGAATCCCAGAAACTGTCATGCAGCCTAGGTCTTCAGGGGCTTTGAAGCAAGCAAGCTTTTGCTGCAAGCTAAACACGACACCCTATCCAGACCGTTTCTGCCGTTAGGCGCTGAAACTTTGGAATTGAATGAGAAAGGCATCACCAAGGTTTTCAGAGGTACACACGGCATAAGTGCCCCTGCCAGCACCACTGCTAGCCATCAATTGGCTTGACCAGCCTTGCGGCCGAAATTCACGATGAGAGACTGGTCCCTAGGGGAAGCAACCAAGACTGGAGTGATGTCCGTATTGCCTCTACTAAACTAGGCCTTTGCCTCAAGGTACATTAAGCTTTAAAGCTTAATTGCCTTAGTCCCCAATCCCACAGATTGGAATCTGGCTATCCAACAGACCGACTAACGGAAAACAAAAGGTTCGTTAGCGAAAGAAGCACCAAACAAACCTGTCCCGAACCTCTTTAAGAAGGGTCTTAAATACTCTAAGAGGAAGGTCCAAAGAGTCTTTCTGCTAAACGATATATAATGGCTTGATACATTTTGAAAGAGTTTGAAGAAGTTTATTTCCCCATGGAGTGACGGCAGCAGAAGAGTATGAAGTTCTGAAAGAAATTCCAGACACATACCTCTGAACTGTTGACGTACCATCATCTATTAATAGAAACATCTCTTTATTCATATCATGGTTAAAACGATATTTACCTCCCATTTTGAAGATGTGAAAAAGTCTCTTGTTCTGAAGAATATGAATATCCCCAGTCATAATATTCTGATGGTGTTAAC